ACAAAAAATTTGTATTCCAGAAGAAAACGCGCTGAGTATATGTACTGGTAACGCAAAATTTTCGATATAAAGATATTTAATATCCGCGCAACCCTGCAGCAAACTATCGAAGGTTGCCAATAAAAACAAAGCTATTAAGAAAATGCAACCCTGTGGCAAACTCGACGTAACCACCTCACACCAAACAGAGGCAGCCGCCATATTGTTTGCCAATCAAAAGTCCGTCTACATAACACCGACCGTAGAAATGAAACGATAAGAGTAAATACAAATACATACTCGATATTTTTCGATTGAACCAGTGATGGAAAAGTTGGCACTTTTATTGACAAAAGCACTAAATTAAAAGCGAAGGTACACAACATGCGTTCGCCGGCAAATGCGTCACGCCGCCAATGTCAAATAAAATTGAACACAGACGACGCCGTTACGAATGCGTATACGCGTTGCCGTTGAAAATAAACCAACTCACTACTTTTCTGTTGCGTTGAAGCGTTGACCAATTCCTTTTGTGGATTTGCTTATAAGCTGTTTTTTTTTTTTTTTTTACAAAACAGTGAGGGGTACAACGCAAAATGTGTAATAGCAAATTTTTCAACGTCGCCAACGCACCAACGGATCAACGCTCCGCCGCAGCAAATAAAATTATGTGCCTTCAGCTTAATACCATGTTCTGACCGACATCGAAAACATGTTTTCGTTGCTAAAACTGGTTTTGACCTAAAACTTGTGTTTTCGTCCATGTAAAATCTGTCAAACGAAAACCAGTTTTCGCTGAAAACTCACGTTCCACTCATTCCAATCGGTGTCTTCACTAGTTTTGTTCGATTATTTGTCGAAGTGGAAGTCATATTTTGTCATATTTAATACGCTATTTCGGATTTATTTTAATTGGCTGGTCGAAGTAATACAATGTTCTGACCGACAACGTTTTTCGTTGACATTTCTTACATCCTTTGTTTACAGTTTTGCTACCATTAAGAACACAGGACAACATAGGCGTACACATAAATTAAAGAACACCAAAGCGAGTTGATATTAAAGAAAAATCAGAGGTTATTGTTAAAAGGTATAATAAATACATGGATTTCAGTACCAGAAAAACTGAAATCAGCAAAGGCAAATATTTTCTCCATAATTGCTGCATTCTATTGATTGCTAACCCGATAGCCTTCTTCTGCATGAAAGCAACTGTCAAAAATTTCCAGCAGTAAAAAGTTACGAATTGGCAGCAGAAATGTAATTTTTTCTCACCATAGTAAAAAGTTTTTTCACCATAGAATTTTTCTACTGATTGGCACAGACCTTAAATTGTAAACACCGATGGCAAACATCGATAATTGAACCGATTTTATCGATGTTTCAAAAACATCGATGCATCGTTTGCATTCCTATTTCCAGCAGAAATTAGTGATATTTTGTGATAATTATCTGTTAAGAAGCAAAGCTTTTTTTAAATTTCGTAATGTTGTTTATTTCTCTTATCGCGAATACT